GTGTCCTTTAAGGCTTAACTCCTGTGAGAAGCCCTTTCAAATCCACCTACTTCTTATTGGTCTCGCCCTCTTCAAATTATTTTGCATTTATATCTTCCCCATCCTTCCCCTCCCCCACCTCATAGGTGATAAATTCCTCAATGGCACAGACTTCCTTTTCCTTTTCCCTTACCCTATTTTGTCTTTGTATCCCCAATATCTAACATAATGTCTTGTAAATTGTGTTTACTAAATGCTCATTGAGTTGTTGAAAGATATGGGAGACGGGGCCTATCCATGAAGAAATGAGTAGAGCCAGTAGTTTAGATTGAGTGCCAAATAATGCTTTAGTGAATCACACAGTGGGACCAGTCCTCAGAGGCCATGTAGCCCAAATGGTACTTGACTAAGAGTTGGTCCTACTATATCCCCCAAAGTGATGTGCAAAGGAAGAGGATAACTAGGACAATACTAAGTGTGGAATTGCTAATTGACTGATTCATTAGTAACTTCAATTCTATTCAACAAACATTTAGGAATTGCCTAATATGTACAAAGCAGGGCACTAGGTACTTGGTATGCAAAGGCATTAGTTCCTGCCCTTAAGGAGCTTACACTTTACTCTTTCCAGATAATTTGAAGAGGCAGAGAGAACACTAATAGCTGTGGGGGTCAGAGAAAGTTTTTAGGCAGGGAAAAAGCACTTGAACTGAGCTTTGAAAGAGGATAAGGCTTTTGAGAAGCAGAGAGGAGAAGAGAGTAAATGTCATGGTAAGTAGATAGAGCACTGAACTCAGAGTCAGGAGAAAGGTTCCATTTCTAGTTCTGACACTTACTAGCTGTGTGGCTCAGGGCCCGTAAGTTAACCTCTGTGTGTCTCAGTTTCCTCACAAATATAATGGCAGTAATAATTTTCACAAACTGCCTCATGCATTATTGTGAAGAAAGTGCTTCGCAAACCTAAGAGATCTATCTCTCTATCATTATATATTATATATGTTGCTGTTATTATCATTATTATTCCAGACATGAGGGATGACCTAGAAAAAGCACCAAAGTGGGAGATTGAATGTCAAGTTTAGGGGAAAATTAGTGGTCCAGAAGGGCCAGAACATAAAGTGTGTGTAGGCGAGTAATATGAAAGAAGACTCGACAGGTAGGAACCGGATTGTAGAGGGCCTTGAATACTTGGAAAAGAGATTGTGCTTTATCCTAGGAGGGGAAGAGGAAGGAAGGGGAATAAGCATTTATGTAGTACTTACTATGTACCAGACACTATGCCAAGCACTTTACAAAGATTATCTCACTTGATCCACACAACAATCTTATAAGATAGGTGCTGTTATTATGCTTATTTTATAGTTGAGGAAACTGAGGTAAACAGAAGTTAAGTGATGTGCCTGGGGTCACACGGTATCTGAGGTCAAATTTGAAGTCAGGTCTTCTGACTCCAGGCATCACCTGTATCACCTGGTTGCCTGGGCAAGAGAGAGCCATTGAAATTTTTGAGTCAGGAAGTGACAAAGTTAGACTTGTGCCTTATAGGAAGATTATTTTGGCTTATTTGGAAGTGGGGAAAGAGTAGAAGCAGGGAGGCTAATTAGGAGGCTATTACCGTTCTCCTTACAGAGATGATAAGGGCCTGCAGCTGAGTGGAGGCCATATGAAAGGAGGGAAGGGGATGGGTATTAGAGTTGTTATGAAGACCCAAGATCCAAGATCTGACAACTGCCTGACTTTCGTGGCTTATGGAGAAGGAGGAGTCCAGGATGATTCTGAGATTCTGAACCTGAGTGACTGTAACGTGGAAGCCTGGAGGTAGAGTGGGTTAAGGGGGGGAAAATAATCAGCTTCATTTTTTGTTTCACTGAATTTGAAATGCCCACTCGGTTCACATGGCCAGCAGGAAGCGTGTGATGAAGAGCCTGATTTTAAGAGAGAGGTTAGGGCTGGGCATATAAATTAGGTAGATATCCACATAGAGTTAGTCCTTGAAGCCATGGAAGCAGATGAAGTTACCTAGAGAGAGTACAGAGAATAGAAAATGAGGACAAGCCATACATGATAATCCAAACAAAAGCATTTGCTGCCTTGTTTTACAGATTCTTCCTAGAACCATTATTTTTATTCAGTCCATTCCCTTTGCGTGGGGAAGCCAACCAAAGCAACAGCAACAGTCTGGTTCTTTAGGCGTTCTCTTTGGCATAAATAGGCGCTGTGCAAAGAGACTACTAACCTTCTACCCCATCCCCTGATCTCCTCAAGATTATCTTTGTTGTAATTATTCTGCCTCTCCTCCTCTGCCTCTGCTTGGGACCCAAGATTAATTTCTGTCTTGAATTGACTGACTTTGAAATATCATCCTAGTTCTGTCACTGACTATCTCTATGATCTCAGGCAACTTGCTTCATCTCTCTGGGCCACTGTTTCTTCATCCAGTGAGGGTGTTGTACTGGATGATTGCTAAGGTCCCTTCCAACTCTATGTTACTTTTGACTTTGGCTGCTCAGAGCAGCAGGTGGCATCTCTTTATTACGGACAAGTACTAGCTAGCAAGCAGTTATATCTAGAAAATGAGACTGGCCTATGATGTAGTGGAAAAAGAAGTGAACTGCAATCAGAATACTTGAGTTATAGATCCTGCCCTGCCGCTGAGAATAGCTTTGTGAACTTAGGTCAATCCTTTCCTTGTGCGAGGTCTCAGTTTCCATTTTTGTTGTTGTCCAATCATTTTCAGTCATGGCCAACTCTTCGTGACCCCATTTGGTGTTATCTTGGTGAAGAGACTAGAGTGGTTTGCCTTTTCTTTCTCCAGCCATTTGACAGATGAGGAAACCAAGGCAAACCAAGTTAAGTGACTTGCCCAGGGCCATAGAGCTAGTAAGTGTCTGAAGCCAGATCTGAACTCACAAAGATGAACCTTCTTGACTCTTAAGCCTGGCACTCTATCCACTGAGTCAGCTAGCTACCCCTTAGTTTCCATACCTACAAAATAAAGCATTTGACCTAGGTGTTCTCCAAGGCCTTTTGCATCTCTGAAATCCTATGTCTCTGTTGCCAGCCACATAGATCACATTTCAGAGGCTGGTTCACTCCCTAACTCATACCCTGGTTTACTTACTATGATTGAGCTGTCTGTCTTTAGCAACTAAAATCTTGAGTATTGGCAAAACTCTCTGAAGTCCCCACCAAAGGTCAAAGGTACCAACGAGCTGGAGAAAATCTCAACCTGGTTCTCCTATAGACTAATATTCAGCCAGCTCAGAATGGGGGGAGGCAGATTGGGAAGGCACTTGGAGTGAAGCTACTACTTTAGTATTAGGGCTGTAGATATGAGTGTTTCTCCCTGCTCCCTATTGAGGATGAGCTGAAAAGGGCAATGTCTTCTCCAGACACAGAAGACAACTGACTAGACCCAGGGCCTGTCTTTACCTGGGCCCCCACAGATCCACTAAATGTTTCCTGTACAAGAAGCGCAATATTTAAAATGTAAAAGCTCACAAGGACCTCTTTCTTATGAATTTTTCTTTGGACTTCTAGTACAAAGGCAGAAAATCCAGAAAGATTTCTGTGGTTAGCGCTAAAGTGTTTCCTCTCTTTTCCCTAAGAAACACTAAGGCCCCTTCTTATTTTCCTCATCTCATCTTTTCCATGCAGTGTGTATTTTGTCTCTCGTCCATCCTCCACGTGGTCTGAGAACCGTTTGAAATAGAGGTGGAAGAGGTTTTCTAAAGCTGCCCTTTAGAATTACGGTAGACTCATTCCACAGCTGTCTGCTTTGTGACATGTCAGACCCTGGAAGGACAAAATTGGAACAAGAGAAAATGACAGTTGTTAGACTTCTGGTCATTCAGTAGCAGCTTATTGCTTATGAAAGGGAGTTAGTAACAAAGGTGAAGTTAAGCTAACCTTCAAAATACTGTATTCGGAAACTCAAAGCAAAGATGCTGCCAATTTTCCACCACTCAAACTTCGAGGTTCATGTAGACATGAGAAAAAGAATCTGTATGTACCAAGGCATACTTTGCAGAGTAGCCAGTGATGAAAAATGAAGATGCACCATGGTAATTGTCCCTTCCTCAAACATATCATGGAGGGGATTTTGAGGAACTGGGTGTGATTTTTCCCCTGTAGTACATTTACTGCATGGTACAAAGGATGTCAGTGATTCTGACCATAGGATATTTATGATCTCAAGCACTGATTTTCCTATTGATCTTAGAGTTCTGGTGTCAGTGTTACCATAGCACCAGTGGGAATATGAGATTTCAGGAAAGGAGAAAGCCTTTAATTAACAGGTAACAGCAGCAGCTAAAATCAGGCTCTCTAAAATGGGCCTGATGCTAGTATTCACCAGTTACTGGAATGATTTGAAAAAGATTTAATTCCCTTCACCCCAAGTCATACACACACACACACACACACACACGTTACCCCTTAAAAAATGACATCTAACATATTTAACTTTCTTTCAATGTGTATGTCACATTCATAGATCTCTATCCTGAACACTACTGTGTCCCCATATCAGAATAGGGCTTTAATTGTATATGGCACTAAGCAATAAATACAATTATAGTAGACAATTAAGAATGTCAAAACAATATGCTTGTTGCCCTAGCAGGCCTCTGGATACTATTTGGGAATGATGCAAGAAGTACAGGGTATCTTTTCTACCTTTCTTTGCTGCTAGCTTTTCCTGGTGTATTTAATAGGTTTATTATATCAAATTACCATGATGAGTTGAGAAATTTCTGTTAGTTGTGAATATTTATATGCTTCCCCCCACCCCTGCCTCATTTTGCTTTACTCTCTTTTTCTCTATTTCCTTTTTGGAAATAAAATAAAACATTGAAAACAGAAACTCATGGGTAATAAATAAAACACATCACAGAAATTACCTGTGGAATGTAACAATTATGTGATCCTGAGTGGTGATTTACCTTCTTTGACTGAAGGTCTGTGGGTAGCTTAGTATCATGGGTCCCTTGGTAGACTTTTGATTTCCCTTTTCCGTCTAGAGAACCAGCAACTGGCAGGAACCTGGTGTCAGAACAAAGGCCGTGCAACTATTGACAAACAGCACACACAAAAGACTGGATCTGGAGACTGGCTTGGAGCCTTTATAAACAGTCTTATCCTGGAAAACATCACCCCAGAGCCCTTCTGGACCTTGTCTATTCCCAGCCACTCCTCACTTCCTAATAACTATTTAATACATTAGTCCTTGCTAATTTTCTTTTCTACTTGAGTTGTCTTCCCACTTATTGATATAATGAAGTATAGACTTGCCCGCACAGCTGCAGGTAATAGGATCTGCCATGCCACAGGGGGCGCATGGGTCCCGGCAGGTTTAGACTGCTGATGGGTAGCAAAATGGCAGAGACTTTACTGCCCGCCTTCAGGCCCTTGGAGGCCCCACTCTTGTAGGCTTGTCTGAACTCAGATTTGCAGTTGTTTAGAATTACCCACATGACATATTTCAGGGCAGTTAACTATATATCGGATGGTTTTGTCCTAAGTCATGGTGCAATAGTACTAAAGGTTTTATACTTTGTGATGATATATAATAAAATTGTAGGCTTATCACATAGACTTTGTATAATAAGCAGGAAAAAAATGACCCTAGATATTCAAGGGAGTCCTTAGTGCAGGCTTAAGCTCTAGCTAAGAGGAAGGGAAAAGAGACCAGCCAAAGCATAAGGACATCTGGTTCCTCAGTTGGGAATAGGAGAGGATGGTCAATTGTGTTTTGGAAGATTAGGCTATTCCAGCTTCTATAAACCAAATTCCCATTGAATGGGATCATGATGTGAATTTTTTTTTGAGAGGGAGGGATCATCTTGTGAATATTTTTTTTAGGGAGGATCACTTATTGTTAGGTTTGGCTCAATTCTAGAGTCTTTCAAAGAGGGAAAATAGTGCCAATGTACAATGCTGATCAGGTACAGAAAAGGAATGATTAAAATGCAAAAAGACTCATAAGCACATATTGAAAACTACCCAGAACAGGAAACAGTAACCCATAATTCTTATTATATTCCCCTAGGAGGTCAATACTTAAAATATTAAAACATGAAACATTTTATGAGACTGATGAACACCATTTTTTCTTAACTCTGACTCTCCAGTATTTGAATAACACCCTCAAGGTCCATGTCTTCTGGTAAGCCAGGCTGTGGCTTGGCCTCATTGTCCTGTCAATGGTCATCTTCCCCAAGTTGGAGAAAATCTTGCTACTGTCAGTCAACTCTGCCTGAGGTAATAAGGAGTTCATGAAAAAAAAAGTAGGTTGCTATCAAGATTGGAAACATCGATCTCAGGATCACTGATGTTTAGAGAAAAGAAACTTTAAGCAGAGGAGGTAGGCAGGACCCATGGCCAAGGTTCAAGGTTCTGGTTCACCTAGGCAGGACATGTACCTTTGGAGGGGAGGAGATCCTCTCCCTTCCCATGGGAGGTCCAAAAGAGAACCTCTGCAAAGTTGTCACATATAGCAAAAGCATAGAAAAAGAGCACCAGAGGGTGGAGTCCTTCCTTTTAGGGTCTATTGAGTAGATTGCTTTTCCACTCTCAGTGCCAATTCTCTTTGATGCCCATTGACCTCCCCCTGCCGCTGTCTTGGGGACGCAGCTATTGCTGCATCATCCCAAAATCTGTGTTGAGCACTGTCCCCAGAAGGGAGGAATGGAGTGGGGAAGGGTTTGGGATAGGGAATAAACTCAGCTCTAGGCACGTTTCAATGGAGTGTGCTCCAGCCAGAGCACATGGAGATGGCCTGATTACCTGCTGTGTATGAGTAACAAGAGGCATCATAGCGTAGTTGATGGAAAGCCAGCCTCTGAGGAAGACCTGGGTTCAATCTTACCTCTGGGCTTATACTGGCTGTGTGATCCTAGGCAAGTTATCTAGCCTCTCAGTGTCCCCAGCAACCTTCTAAGACCTGCAGAGAAGGTACTGATCTAGACTGACAGTGGAGTTCCTTATAGAGTTCCCTATGGTGATGAAACTTGGGTCTGATTTTTTTAAAACCCTAAATCTTTGTAAATTCTAAAGTGCTATAAAATTTGTGCCATTATCCTCATTTTATTGATGAAGGAACTAAGGCTCAAAGAAATCAAGAGATTTAATCATAGACGTATAGTAAATTTAAAAGCTTGTACTTGAATACAGATCTTCTGACTTAAGTGACATAATTCTCTTCCCCAAAAGGGTGAGGTCACCTTTTAATATCTTCTCTGAACTGGATACACACACATATATAATTTTTGGTGGAGGCATGAGGAAAGAGAAATGGAGAACACTGACAGCCTTGAGCCCTATGACTATCTCACCCCTTATTCAAGATGAGAGAGACTAATTGAAAAGGTGACATATCTTCTACAAAGGAAAAGTGGGTAGAGAAATGTGTCTTATTTAATTTTTTTTCCTAGATTATTAGGGACAGGGAAGAGGAGCAGTGAGAATCCAGAGCAGGACATTATTCAAATCCCGAGTGGTAGGGAGAGCCAGGGTTCTCTGGAATAGAGATTCTGGGCAGGGGTTAGCTGCTGGAGAATGGAAAGCAGCTAAAGCATGGCATCATGGAAAGGGCTATTGATTTGGGACCATGGGAATCTGGGTTCAAAATTCAAGTTCAGCCATTTATTACCGTGTGACTTCCAACAAGTCATTTCACCAGGTTCTTGCTGAGATAGCTTTAGGATGCTGTGACTTAGTACCTGCCATACAACCCTAAACAATCTGAGACGGCACGGTCAGATGAGAGAGCGTTAGATTGCATGTCATGAGGCTCAGGTTTACTTAGAACCTTTCAACATTGGATTTAACTTCTCCAGTCTGACTTTTCCCAACATCAGGAAATAAAATACCAATATACTTTCTCTTCCCCTCGCTCTCCTAGGAATGTTAAATAAAGATAAAGAAGATCATAATTGGGAAGTGTACACCCAGGTCTGTGGGTAAAGGAATCTTTTCTTTGTGATTACAAGGGATTCACTACTTCATGCCTTGTAAAGGACAAGCTTTTCCTATGCAAACCACATGCCAATTATAAGATGCTTGTTTAAGCAGCTGGAGAATAGCTATGAGCCTGTGTGTAGCTGCAGTTATACCTGCAGTGACTAAGATAACAATGCAGCCTTCAGAGCAGCCTCATAGACTTAGGCTTCCTAATGCGGTATGCAAACATTATAGTATGAGCACTGAAAAGAGTTCAAGGCTATGATGGGCTGGTTATCATAATGAAGATTCAGTTTTCCAGTATGCCCAGAAAAGATTGCCTCCATAATCATTGCTTCTTGATATCTTTCTCTTCATTCAGAACCCACTTCCTCAATAAGATCTTACCTGATTCCCCCAGCTAGAGAGGATCCCATCCCCCCAATCCTCTCATGATTATTTGACCTTGGCACTTTTGTCTAACGTATTACAGTGATTTGTTCACACCTCATCCTTCTACTAGATTTTGAAATTATTGAGAGTGGGTACCCATGGAGTTTTTTTGTCTTGGTTTTTCATAGGATCAGAGATTTAGAGCTAAAAAAGTATATTAGAAGTTATCCAGTTCAATTTCTTCATTTTACACATAAAGAAGCTGAAGACAAGAGAGGTGAAATGATTGTCCAAGGTCACAAATTAATATTAGCAGAACTAGGATTTGAACCTTGGTTTTGTGATTCCAAAGTTAGCGCTCTCATAGTACACAGTACAGTACACAGTAGGCCAATAATTGTTGAATTGAACTGGGTTCTGTGAAACTACATGATGCCAGACTGGGCCCACAGTCAGTCAACAAGCGTTTATTAAGTGCCTACTTTGTGTCAGGCACTGTACATACAAAGAAAGGCAAAAGACAGTCCCTGCTTGGGCTGATTCAATATTAGGAAGACTATCAGCATAACTGACCATATTAATAACAAAACCAAGAGAAATCATTGATTATCTCAATAAATGCAGAAAAAGCTTTTGACAAAATACAGCACCCATTCCTATTAAAAGCACTAGAGAGCATAGGAACAAGTGGAACTTTCCTTAAAGTGATAAATAGCATCTATCTAAAACTATCAGTGAGCATTTTCTGTAATAGATATAAACTAGAAGCCTTCCCAATATCAGGGTGAAGCAAGGATGCCCATTATCACCACAGTTATTCAGTATTGTACTAGAAATGTTATTTATAGTGATGAAAAGGAAAAAATTGAAGGAACTGGAATAGGCAGTGAGGAAACAAAACTATCATTCTTTGCAGATGATATGATGGTGTGCTTAAAGAATCAGAGAATCAACTGAAAAAACCAGTTGAAATAATAAACAACTTTAGCAAAGTTGCAGGATATAAAATAAGCCCACATAAATAATCAGCATTTCTGTATATAACCAACAAAACCCAGCATCAAGAGGTAGAGAAAATCCATTTAAAATAACTGTAGACAATATAAAATACTTGGGAGTCTACCTGCCAAGACAAACCGAGGAACTTTATGAACACAAAAAAAAGCACTTTTCACACAAATGAAATCAGATCTAAACAACTGGAAAGAAAATTGATTGCTCATGGATAAGCTGAGCCAATATAATAAAAATTCTAATCCTCCCTTAATTAATTTACTTATTCAGTGCCATCAAACAAACTACCAAAAATTATGTATAAAGCTTGAAAAATAGTAACGAAATTCATCTGGAAGAACAAAAGGTCAAGAATATCAAGGGAATTAATAAAAAAAATGCAAAGGAAGGTAGACTAGTACAGAGAACTGGAGATAGCGCCAGGAGACCCTCCACCTGTGTGACCCTAGAGAGGTCACTTGTCTCTCAAAACATCAATCTCCTTGTCTGTAAGATGGAAATAATAACAATACCTGGGTTACTGACCTCACAGAGTTGTGAAGAAAGGAGCATAAGGCCTGCCATAGGCACTCTGTAAAGGTGAGTTATTATTCATTGCCCTTGGCACTTAAAAACAATAATGCAGGTAAAATCCTTCCAAAACTTAAAAATATGGGCAGAATGACTTATGTAAAACCAGTTGTGTCTCAGCATTAAGATTTTTTTTCACCATGATCACTCACATCTGCCCAGGTCATTAGATAAATCTGAGATACAGCAATTTGTCTAGAGTAGGAGAATCTATGATGACTTGTCTTCCCCCCGCTTTCCTTCAGCCTCTCCTAAATATTTTCTAGGATGGCATTCCCTCAGAGGCATAAAATTGAATAACAGGGCTCTAAATTCAGTGGCTCCCAAT